AAATAACTATGTGGAATGTCACATTTAATTTTTGAAATAATCTCAGCTGGTTAGAACTACTTGTTCTCCATGGTATCCCCAGGGCATAGCACAGAGTGCCACACAGTAAATCTCAAAAATTATTTATTAAAAGAATAAATGAGTGAATGGAAATTAACAAGGTGAAATTTTATCAAATAAAACTAATTTGTTCAGGCATTGAATAGACTAAACCTGGTTTGATATCAATTTAGATAAATACCAGCCAAATACAGTTCATTACCAGCTCAATTTAAGCCAAAAGTTCAATTAACAGAGGTAAAATATCTATCAAAATTAATCTCTATCATTTGCTGTAGTCAGACTACATGCAAAATACTCAATTCCATTTGTACATCACTTTTTGAAACTAACCCTGGCAAACGAACTTTCAACTACTCTCTCCCAGTTGGGTACTCAGGAATTAAGAGGTCTAGAGATCTTCTTAGGAGAAGTATCTGAGATTTGAAGTATCCAAGATTTTAACTTGGAAAAAGAAAACAGGAGAGACATGCTTCAAATATCTGAAGAGCTGTCATAGGAAAGTTAAATTATAGTCATTTCTGTATCACCCCCAAGGAAAGCATACAGAAGAGAGGGAAGCAGATCTTGCTTTAGTATAAAGAAGAATTTTTAAGTTAGATCTGTCCAAAAATGGATTAGGCCACCTCTTAAAGCAAGGAACAATTTCATCACTTTAAGGGTCTAAGCAAAAGCTAATCTGCCAGCAGCTTTGCAGAGCAATTATTTCTATGTCATTTTAGGCCATTAATATGTATGATTTAAAGAGCCTTTACTGGCCTGATATTCTGATTCTATGACTCCTGAGGGTCTTGCTCACTCCCTCTTCAACATTATCATAATCTCTCTTTTAGTGCAGGAGGTAAGGGGAGCATATTTTTGCAGCACAAATTTCACAAAGATGTAGCTCTAAAATGAAATTTTGACAATTTAATCACAAATAACTTTAGTTTTTGTCTTCCACCCACTTAATGCCTGATCCAGTCCATCGTTGTTCTTGTTCCAGTTATTTCTATTTGTTCATGAGGTAGTCTTTCTGTGATGGTTAATTTTAGTTTGGGCTAAGAGACATGCAGATATCTGGCAAAACTTTATGTCCAGGTATGTTAGTAAGAATATTACCAGAAGGGATTAACATTTGGGTAAGTAACTGTGCAGATGGGCATCATCCAGTCCCTTGAGGGTCTGAATGGAACAAAAATATGGAGGAAGAATAAATCTGGGATATCCAGCTTCTCCTACCCTCAGCCATAGGCACACCTGGTTCTCAAGCTCCGGACTTGGACTGAACTAACACCACTGGCTCCATGGCTCTCTAACTTATATATCATGTAACTTATCAACCTCCATAGTTGCTCAAGCCAAGTGTCATATCCTTCCCCTCACTCTTTCTCCCTTTCTTCCTTTCTCTCTTTCTTCCTCCATCTGTTTCTCTGGAGAACCCAAACTAACTAGCATACCTTATTTGGACTCATATAATCTCATTTCTATCGCAACTATGCCAGGGGTAAAAAAATTCCTCTTAAAAGTCACAACATCTTTGCTGTAATAGTCAATGGTCATGAATTGATTTTTATTCACCTTGCTCTGTAGGGGTATTGTTAACTATTCCTTCCTTTTCACCTGTTTCTCCAACTACTTTCATCTTTTTCAATGACCCTTTTTCTCTTTTTCCACTTATGAGTCATAGTGATTTCCTAAGAGATTGATGCTTTCTATGTAAAATTTTTACTGCAATTTTTATGGTAGTATTAATTTTAAAATTCTTAAGCACAATAGAATAATGCCAGCAATGCAATTAACGTTGTCTTTATCTTTGTAATTTCTCTATATAACAAATAGTAAATACTGATTTGTTTGACAATACCTATTTGCAGTTTTGTTTTCCTAGTTGAGTTGGGGAAAGTACTTCAAATTTTAATGTTTTGCTCTCCTGGTAGACAAGGATTTCAAATTATATTTTTTAAAAGTTTGAATTGGAGGAATTCTGTAAGCTCACATTTGCTATTATATTAGTAAAATCATCAATCTACTTAAAGATGTTAGAAATTTTTGTTATTCTTCACATTTAAAAATGTGTCTGACATCTGCACTCCCATGTTGACTGCATCACCATTCATGCATGCCAAGATAAAGAAACAAACTAAGTGTGTGTCAACTTTGAAATGGATAAATAAAATGGGACCTCTTTCTTTTTTATTCAGCCACAAAAAAGAATGAAATATTGTCATTCTTGACAGTGTGAATGGAACTGGAAGTCATTATGTTAAATAAAATAAACCATATACTAAAAGACAAGTACTACATGATCTCACTCATCGGTAGAATCTAAAATGTTTATTTCATACACAAGTAGAATGGTGGTTACCAAAGACTGGGTTTAGGAGGTGGGGGACAGGAATGAATACAGGTTAATCAATGGTACTAAATAATAGGAGAAAGAAGCTCTGGTATTATGTTGCACAATAGGGTTCCTATGGATAACAACTGTGTTCTTTATACCTCAAAAGTCTAGAATAAAGAATATTAAATGTTTTCACCATGAAGAGATAATAAACGAGAAGATACATATGTTTAACATGATTTAATATTACATAATTGAAACATTACATGGTACACCATTATTATGTACAATTTTTATGTTTGTATGTATCAATTAAATATTGAATTGAGGCTGAGAATGTCACAAATCATATATTCTGGGTAGCTGAAGACATCATCAGTTCATTGCACCTTATGTCAAAATTCAAGCTAGGTTTGTAGATAGCTGTTAGAAAATTTAGTAGGGAATAGAAGCTCTACTCCCCAAATGGACACAAAGCTCATTCTTCCAAGAAATCTTCAATCTCATATTTAATAACCACTTGGAATTTTTATCATTATTCTAATCACATACTATATTTCTTACTTTACTATATAATATGGTTATGGTCCATATATTACAATTGAGCACTTGAAATGTAGCTAGTGAAACTGAAGTTCTAATTAATCAAAGTATTTAATTAACTTAAGTTTTAAAGTCTCACATGACTTTTTTTTTTCACATGACTTTTGACTACCACATTGGTCAAAACAACTCCCCAGAAAATATAACCACAAATTACCCCTGTGGTCTTCATTTCTTAAGGAATAAATGTAAATATTAATAATATTAACATAACCATAGGACCATAGATAATGCTACACTCAAACTGACTTATCCCTATAACAAACATTTATAGGATATAGCAGGTTCTATGTACCAGTTGTCATAAGGAGCTCAGAGACTATTGAAAGATGTAAAAAAGAAGTAAATAAATTATGATACAATTTCATTGTAAGTAGAGCAACTTAATAAAAATTTGGGGGACATAGCATATGAATAACTGTCCATGAGAAGTAATAGTTTTCATTAACGAATTTTTAAAAATCTGGAACATCATAGAATATGCTATAAAATAATATGAGAGGAATGGGAGGTGAGGAAGTAGACAGGCATTCCAGAAACAACATTGAATTCTGAAAAGGCTTGGTATGTCTTGGACCCACATCTTCCATATGTGGTATGCATCAATATCAGCAGAAGATGCTACTGTAAAGTTGACTCTAGGCTGCTTGTGACAGTCTCTTGTGGTAAGCAAGAAGTTTGGATACCTAGTGATCCCATAGTACACTGTACTCTCAATATTGTTAGAAAACTTGCTTTATTGTTAATTACTTATGTTTTAAAATCCTCCTCGTTTGATTTATAATTTGTTGTGGAGAGACTGTTTTATTGACCAGTATATTCCATGACATCTAATATAGACTAAGTTTTTGTTTTCTTTTGTTTTTCTGTTTTGTCCTAGGAATTGTCCCAGGGGTGCTTAACCATTGAGCAACATCTCCATTCTTTTTTTATGTTTTATTTTGAGACAGGGTCTCTCTAAATTGCTTAGAGTCTAATTTGCTGTGGCTGGCTTTGAACTTGCAATCTTCTGCCTCAATCTCCTGAGCTGCTGGGATTACAGGTATGTGCCACTGCGCCTGGCTCAGTATCTGTTTTATGAATATTATTTATGCTTGTTCTGAAGCTTCATGCCCTTGGAACCGCACTGCCATCTTCCAAGTTACCCCTTTGACTTGTGGTGTTTAATCTTTTGATCCACCATCAGGTTGCCAGACAGTGTCGTTGTTTACTATTTAACAACAGATTTTATGACTTGTTCTCCACGTTTTAAATGAAGCCAGGAATTTGATAGACAAATGTATTTGTGGCATTAGATGTGAGTTACCCAGCATAATATACTTGGAAGGAAAGCAGCTGAAAAAACTTTACTAACTGTATCAATAGGGCTTCAAATTAAAAAAGGATAATGTATTTTTTTAAATGAAGTATAAAAGCAGAATGGCAATGGAAAAATACTCCAGAGTAAATATCTATCTTTACTGATCTTAAAGTAGATCTTCAGGGGTTGTCATAGCCATGTACTCTTATTATCTCATGTTTACATTTCTTCATTATTTCATGGAGTTAATCTTCCCCTCAAGAGAAATAAGAAAGTCTCTAGAATACATGAAAGCAATCTGACATAACTTATGATAGCAAAACAGTCATTTTGTGCAAACAAAAAACAGTGATTACTTTCAGTATTGTGCCTCCACAGGTCTCCCAAAAGGTAAAAATCATTCTGGGTTCAAGTAAAAATCAGCAGGATGCTCTATACAAAGTGGACTACTCAAGAGTTAATAGCCAGAGAAAGAGGGTTATGCTGACTGTAGGCACAAACACATTTCCCCTGGCCGCTTCCAAAACACACACACACACACACACACGGAAGACAGACGAAAAACGTGGTTTATTTATCACTAGGCAGAAATATTAGTAATAATGCAAAGATCTCAAGTAACGCTTTACTAATTCGTCCTTCCTCTCACACATCTCATCCATAGCACCTCCGGCGACTGGCAAGCCAAGCGCCGCCCAGCGGGTGGGCGGGGCTGCAGTTCTTTTGGGTGTTCCCAGCTTGCGCGAGCGCGCGTTTGGTATCTGTGTCGAGGGAGGAGTTTCTTGTCCCTTTGCGCGGCCCGTTCCGTCTCGCCGCCTCGCCTCCGGTAGTGTTTGGGCTGACGTGTCTGCAGTTACTCCGAGTCTCAGCGACTCAGGCCGTGATGGCGGACGCCTGGGAAGAGATCAGGCGGTTGGCGGCTGACTTCCAGCGGGCGCAGTTCGCCGAGGCCACGCAGAGGTGCCAGACTCTCCCTCTTCGTTGTGGAGTCCAATTTAGGCCCTGGGTGGACACGCGCGGAATTAGAGCTTAGATCCCTGGTCCTGGACCCCGGGCCTTCCAGCCCTCATCAGAGTTCTCGCTTCTTCCCTTCTTCGCCCCAGCCTGGATCGCAGTTCTGAGTCCAGGAGTCATTTGGAAAGCCCGCCTGCTACCATGCCCTGAACTCCCCCCGCCCCCCCGCACCACCCCCATTCCTGGCTCCAGCCAGGTGGTGGCGCGCCCCTTCTCTGCGATGGCCTAAGCGGGTGACTTAGGGCTGTGTTTAGAGTCTCCCTCTAATCCTTCTCCCCCACCCCTTACCAAGTCACTTCTGCATCGTCCCGGTTACACACTTCCTGACCTAGAATGAGCATGAAAAGCGAGACTAACCCCAAATACAGTACTCTGCAAATGTGATCCTTTATTATCTAACATAACAGATGTAGAACAGACCCATGAAGTCATCTATCATTTTTAGGGACTTTTTCAGGCCACTGACATTGTCTAGAAACCCACGAACCTTTGGGGGATGTGTCTGGAACACCTTAACTCTACTTTTCAATATTATAGAACATACTTATAATGCTAATAGAATCCTTTTTATCGATGGAGTATTTCTTACTGTGGATGTTTTATTCCTTCTAGTCCTGAAGGCAGTAGACCTTTTATGCTGTATTTTGTATTTTATAGCACTGAGAGATGCAAAAACAAAATCTAGAGCACAGTAAGTGTGCAGGTACCTAACAGTAGGTGTTATGGTTTTGCTAGGCCAGATTCTATCTGCACACCAAGTACATCAGTGAGGCCACTATGCACTTAATTTAAAAAGAAGATTTGGGTTAAACCAAAAATTGAAGTAAGGTAGGGCAGTTGTTTTTCCTATCTAAATTACATGTCAAAATTTTCTATTTAGATTTGATGATTAAAAGAAGGCCTAAAAGAGCAAATTTGAAATTGAGTAAAATTATATATATATATTAAGTAAATGATATAAGTATATGAAAATCTGCTTACATTCAATAGTTTTTTTTTAACTTTTAAACTGGTATTGTTATATTAATAAAAGACAAATATTTTGTGATAATAGAAGTTAATGATTCTACCCAAACACATTTTAGAAACCTGTTTTCATACATTGTGTTAATTTTATGGAACACCAGTATGTTACTCACTCTTAAATTTTTTTTCCCTCAGATTGTCAGAACGGAACTGCATCGAGATTGTGAATAAACTGATTGCTCAGAAACAACTAGAAGTAGTTCACACACTTGATGGAAAGGAATATATTACTCCAGCCCAAATTAGTAAAGAAATGAGAGATGAGCTACATGTCCGAGGCGGTAAGTAATTTTGTAGTGTTTTATTTTTGTCTCCTGGACCTTTGGAAGGAAAAAAAAAATCTTTAAATCGTAAGTGCTAAATTATATGGAGCTTATAGGACATCCTTCTTAATTGTTAACTTAGTAGTCAAGCTTAATGTTTTTTCTGGGTTCACATAAACATGATCATATAATCTAAATGAACTCAAGTAATATCACTTTCCAAAATACTATTCTTATTATTTTGAGTTATATGTATTATATGTGAATATGTTGGCTATTTATTTTTGTAATTTATTAATTTATTATATGAACTAAAGTAGGGTACTTACCCTGCCAGTTATCAGTATTATTTTTGAAACAGGATTTTAAAAAGATCAGAGATTCCTAAACAAGTCTATATTACCATATTTTTTAAATTATTTATTTTGTAAGTAATACAAACTAGGTAACTCAATATTATATAGTGTTTCACCCATCACATTATATGAAATGCTATTATTGTGGTTAGCATAAAACACTCACAGTTTTCCTTTGTCTTTTATTTGGAAAAATTACTGAGCAAATTGGACACAATTTGATTAAAATACAAGCAACTATGAAAGCAGCTCTTCATTGGATATTTACAGAATATAACCTTGGTGTTAGTTTAGTTTTTTATCTCCCTACATAATGCTAATGAAATATGACCTGTAATTGGGGGTATTTAGTAAATTTTCTTTTGCTGGTAAATAGAAACCTACCTTTCAGGTTCAAACAATTGAGAAAAATATTATTAAAAATAATTAATTTAGTTGTCAATATCTCTTTGGTCAGGGTAGATAAATTCTGAGTTCTTAAGGGAGTTCAGTACCTTCTGTAAGTCTAGTTAACTTGTGTATCAGTGGATGCTTATATGTAGCCTCATGTAATAAAAATTCAAATTATTGCCTTTGATTTCAGCTATGAACACTTAGCAAATGGTTTACATTTAAAGACATTAATTGTGATTCTGTGTCCTTTAGGAAAAAACTTTGTTCAAAACTTAAATCTATGAGAATGTACACTTTTTAGCTGATTTGTACTTAGACATAATTTAAAATAAGTGAATGTCTTTTCTTTCAAGGTCGAGTAAACATTGTTGATCTGCAACAGGTAAATTTTAAATTTATAAAATTTTTGCCTTGATTTCTTAATTTTTAATCCTGTGAATTTGTTCAGTGTCTTTAAAAGCATTGACTGATACTGGTATCACACTTTATATAATGTTTGTGAAAAAATAGTTACATAGCCCTCACTGATACATTAAATCAAATAAATTATGATATATTCAATTGATTTAATAGGTTCTTCCTTGGTCAACTTGCTTGTTCTTTACCTAATAAACTCAGTAGCTGCCATTTTATATAATTTAAAGTTCATGTCATTTCAGGAGAAAAATCATGAGTTTTATATTTATTGTCTTTATTATGTGGAAGTAATGGAGAAATAGTAAGAAGTAGAATATATTTTCAAAATATAAATACACATGTGATTGACGCGGTACATTATATATAAGAAGCTAGGCAATCTTGTGTGAAGTGGTGTCTGTTGTATGAAAATTGTTGTTTATTATATTAATTTATATTAAATTTTTTAGCAAGTAAAAATAGAATTCTTTAGAACTGAACATAAGTAAGCAAAAATTCATTTTTTATTTGAAGCCTTTAACGATATTTTAAATAAATTCAAAATTGTTCAAGTAATTTTTAAAAAAAAATATCTAAATATATAATTTCAAAGCTGACAAATAGCCAGGCATAGTGGCACCATACTGTAATCCCAGCAAGGTAGGAGGATCGCAAATGTGAGGCCAGCCTCAGCAACTTAGTAAGACCTTGTCTCAAAAAAGGACTGGGAATGTAGCTAAGTAATAGAGTACCCCTGTTCAATCCCCAGTATGGCCAAAACAAACTTAAGAAACAGTACATACTTATACTAGTAGAATTTCTATTTATTTTCCAGGTAATTAATGTGGACCTGATTCATATTGAGAATAGAATTGGTGACATTATTAAATCAGAAAAGCATGTCCAGCTAGTATTGGGACAATTGATAGATGAGTAAGTACTTTATCTAGGAGCATTTATTTTCTTTCTTTTTAAAATATTGTTAAAATTTAGACCAATTATAGCCAGTTAGGCATTTTATTTACAGCTCTTATAGTGCTGATTTTTGTTATAAATATCATTGCATTTAAAATGTAAATGCTTAATTATTTGGAATACGTAGTTGCAAATACTATAAACTGTGTCTGTTTTGTTTTATTTTGTTTCTATTGAAGCAGTGCAAAGCTTCTGGAGATCAAGCAAATTTTCCCTTGAATGTATATTCTTTGTTGTACCCCCATAGTTTCTCACTCTTGGGATAGCCCACATTCTCCCTTGAATGTGCTTCTGCTTTTCTATAAACCTCTGTCTTTGAAAATAAAAAGCAATACAAAATGGAACTTTTATAATTTTTGCTATATGATATTAACTCTGGAAGCACATTCATTCTAAAAATATTAATGAAGAATAACAAACTTTACAATATAAGAAAAAAATCCCAAAATTTATCATTTGAGTAACCTTGTGTTCATTTAGTTACATTGATGAGAAAAAAATATTTTAGAATATGAATAATGAATATGAATAATGTATTGGTAATATGAATATTATTCATATTACCAATACATTATTCATTACTTTTGGTACATACTTTATTCCAACAGAAAATAAGCCTAAAAGAATCAGAAAATAAAGAAAAACATTATTTCTAATTGTTTTTCATTTTGTTTTTTCAATATTAGCAACTATTTGGATCGGTTAGCAGAAGAAGTAAATGATAAATTGCAAGAAAGTGGTCAGGTAACCATATCAGAACTGTGTAAAACCTATGACCTTCCTGGAAACTTTCTGACACAGGTATTTTTTTCTTAATGGTGTAATATATCTTTTTAACAAAGAATTTTAAACAGAGAATTATACTTAGTGCATGAATTTATTTAATGCTTCTCTTATCAGCTGCATAGAAATTTTAACCAGGATATCTACAGTTCCATATCCCAGTTACATTTTAGAAAAACCATCAAACATTTTAAGTTAGAAGGGGTACTCCTGGCATCTGTGGGTAAAGGCAAGGAAGGGATGCTGCTAAATATATTACATTACACAAGACAGCCTGTTCAGCAAAGTATTTTCTTGTCATAAGTGTCAGAAGTGCCACTGTCTTTTGATATCATCTTTTTTTTTAATGGATCAGTGATGCTTTACTAAGCAGTGGAGGAGCACATTTTAAAGGGGGAAAATGGTGATGGGCTACAGCAGATCTGAGTTTTATAGGGTTTAGCAGGGCATGGGAGGAGTTGGTTAGTTACTTTTGCTGGGCTTATTTTGGTCGGCAGGGGGTTTTGGGCAGATAAGGGTGATTAGGAGAGACTAGATTCCTAAGCTCCCCTTTTTCCCTGAGTAAGTCTCCATTTCCTTCATTCTAGACTCTAAAAAAGATATAGTGAGTTGGGATGATGTCATCATATCTGGCTACTCTGCTGAGCAGGGGCATCACTAAGATATCTTCCAGAGGCTGTAGCATGGTGGCCCTGGAGATCAGAGACATGTTCTGTTAGAAACCTCTGGAAAATATTAATGAAACATGGAAGAAGGGAGAAAAATAAGATAATCAGGAGAATGAAGGATCATATGGGTCCAAATCCAGGTCAGGAGTCCTCCCTCCCATCCAGGGGAAGAGGAGATGTTTGCTAAGTTAGCGGCTTGTTTCTTTAGCTTTCTTATCCCTTACTATTCCTGACTTAACTAACATAGAAGCAACATTTTTCCCCAAGGAAGAGGCTGAGGCTACCTTGTCCTGCAGTAAGAAGATCTAGGTGCTGATGATTTTGCAAACCTACAGAATACAGGGAATCCAATTGATTTTGTAAAGTTCATACCAAATCAGCATGGCTATCCTCAATAACCTGTATGGACCATTTTTTATAGTAGTGAAGAGAAGTTCCTAATCCTGCTACTTCTATGCCAATCCTGGCAAGTCCTTTTCTAGCCCTATAAGTAAAGGAATAAACTGAAGGGCTCTCTTATATCTGGTGTGCAACATTATCAGGATAGGCAAATTTTGATTATTAGGTGAAACAATGTTATCTATATTATTCCTCTTTAAACTGTCAGTATGATGGGAAGAAAAACAAAGAAATCTCACGTATTATCTTATGTTCAGGTACTTGTGTTAATACTCAAATCAAATATCTTGATTTATAGTATAGTAACACTGCTACCTGAAAACAGATGCTATTTCCTTATTTTTTTTTTTTTTTTTTAAGTAGTTTGACATTTTAGAATTGTGGAAATCCATTTGATAGAGTAAAAAGTACATGTTTTGGAGTTAAACAGCTTGATTTGAAACCTTTTAGTGTCACTTTTTATTTATTTTACATTAGAAAAACTAATCTCTTGTGCTTCAAGTTACTTATGTGTAAAATGGGAATAATTATATCTTTTTCATAAGCTTCAATGAGATGTACCTATAAAGTGCAATGTCTGTTACAACAGAGGTGTATACCTAAAATGAGATTTGGCTTTTTCCATGTTTCAGTATACAAAACTATCATTTATTGAGTGCCTCTGTTGTAACAGACATTGCACTTTATACACCACTTTAATAAGAAACTTCAACTTACAAAATGTACCAAACATTTTCTGGGGCCCAGCACTGCATGTATTGGACAGAGGTGGGCTCTGCCCTCCTGATGCTCAAGCTGAAGTGAGTGCTAAAGACCTGTCAGTGAGAAGGTTTAAAAGACCCTATGATGAGATTAATTTGGAGTACAAACAGGATTGTTCTCCACATTAAGAGAATCAACTTCCCAAATTACATTTAAAATAGAGTATAACTTCTGTATAGCATTTCAGGATCCTAAGTTCTATTTCACATGAGTAAATACATATTAATCATAGAAAAACATTATACTTTTTAAAAATTGTACTTTATAAAATTTATTTATTTATTCTAATTTTAAAACACTTTTTAAAATATCAGGCCAGATCCAAATTCTTACCAAACTGTGCACCTAAATACCTCTTAGAAATATGCAGTTTCTTAATATTTTTTAGTTCTAATTATTCTGAATACCACAGGCAGCATTCTAAAACTTCATTAAGTTGTTTGAAAATATTTTTTGTATCATAAAAGTATCAGCCAAGCTGACTTACAGATTTAATTTATTTTGAGATGTGAACTATATCCAAGCTTATTTCGCACTTATCTGATCCCAGGTATATTATAGCTGTTGGAAAATATTCTCTCTGTTAGAAAACAGATTACCAAGAAACCAAATCATCTTCAGGTTTAAATCTTTTGTTAATATTTGTACCAGAAGAAATCATTTTTTTTCAGGTCTTAGGTTCTCCTAAATTGCAGAATCTTGGCATAACACTTATTTTTCTCAGTGTTTGAAGCTCCAGATAGGGTCTTCTCTGATATCAATGCATATATCTTGTGTTTATGTTGGAAACTGCCTATATATAGAAATATTATATTAGAAATACACTTTATAAACAAGGGCTAATACAATAACCAAGCCTTTTATTATAAAAGTAATTTGACTTATTTCTTGGCTCTGCTATGTGGTAATGTATTTTTCTAGATCCTGAAATTTCATTTAGTTTATATATCTTGTAATTTAAGCTTGTTAAAATTTCTTAATCATCATTCATATAACATCAGCATGCAGTAAGCATGAGTATACAAAATGTATATGTGTGATTTTATTCAAATTAATAAAAATTTAAATCTTTACCCCCAGGCATTAACTCACAGACTAGGTAGAATTATCAATGGACATATTGATCTTGATAACAGAGGAGTAATTTTCACAGAAGCTTTTATTGCTCGACATAAAGCACGCATCCGTGGATTATTCAGTGCTATTACCCGGTGAGCATGTTTTAAAATATGCAGATTTATACATTTTTTTGATATGGTTTACATTTCTTTTCCTAGCAACTGAATGTTTGGTTGGTTTTTGTTTTGTTTTGTTTTAAGCAAAATTTCATTGAGGGTCATCGATAGAAGGGGAACTTCTGTGAAATGGGGTTGGGATACCAAAGTCCAGAATGCAGCCTAATTCTCTCCAACCAACATCCCCTTCTTTTTCCTGTTTGCTCCATCATACCCCCAGATGCACATCTGTAGAATGTGGTTTAAAAACTGCTATGCAAAACTGTATATTAAGGTTGTCCTGGAATCATGGAAAGACCATGCAATTAACAAAGGTAGAAGAATTGGGGCTTATAGCTGCATCAAATAATAACCATGTGACTTTAAGCATAAATGTCATTCTTCTGACTTGGGCTTTAGATGGGGTAGATAATTTTAGGACTCTTTTTACCAAGTTAACTTGTTAACGGCTGGGATGTAGCTCAATGGTAGAATGCTTGCCTCGCATGTGTGAGGCTCTGAGTTCAATTCCCAGGACCAGAAAAAAAAAAAAAGTAGTTAACATTCTACTATTCTACTATACTAATGAATAACAACTTTAGTTTCAAAATGACTAACTTTGCTAAAATAAGAATTTATGATATTTTGGATCTATGTGACAAACTATAGATTTTATAAAACATGTTCTCACTTATCTCCTCTCTCCTGTGACATCAGCTTCATTTCAGTGGCTTTGTGTCCCTTTAAAATGTCCAAATTTCTCCCATTTTAAAACAGACTCTGAACCCCATAGTTCACTCCATCCTGTGTATTAAGTTTCCTTAAAGTGAAACTTCTTGAAATTGATGTCTGCATTTATTCACAGCTTTCTTACCTTCTTTTTCTTCTCAACTGACCTCCTTGGCTTCTACAACTTACATAGCAGTGATGTCAATATAATTAAATCTAAGCTACCCACGGTGGTGCATGCCTGTAATCCTGGCTATAGAAGACTGACACAGGAGGATCTCAACTTTGAGGCTAGCCTGGGCAATTTAGCCAGACCTCTTTTCAAAATTAAAAAATAGATAAATAAGGATATGGATGTAGCTCAGTGATAGAGGAACACTGGATTGAATCCCCAGTACTGCAAAATAAGTCAATGATTACATCTGACTTTGTAGTAATATTTAACTCCAGACATTTTTTAAGTGATAGCTGTTGTGGTTTTTTTGGTTTTATGTTTTTGGGTTTTTGTTTGTTTGGTCATTTAACAAATCAGTAAGTACTGAGCACATAATTGCACAGAGATACAAAATACTAGAAGGTTAGGGAGAGTTTGTAATCTAATGGAATAATTTTATTCTCTCTTTTTTTTTATATTAAATAACCTGAAACTTGAGGGTTTTTTTGTGTGTGTGAAGAAATTGCTGAAATGACATTCTGTTACCACAAATGCAATAGTATGTTTTTCCTACAAAATGAACATTATCCTATGTAACTATAATATAATCGTCCAAATCATAAAATTAACATTGATGGGCTGGGGCTGTAGTTCAGTGGCAGAGTGTCTGTGTAGCATGTGTGAGGCACTGGGTTTAATCTTCAGCACCACCTAAAAATAAACAAATAATTCTGTCTATCTATAACTACCAAAAAAATCTTTTTATTTTTTTAAATTAACATTGACACATACTAACATCTAGTCTTCAGATCCCATTCATGGTTTAATGATGGCTCCAGAAATATTTTTTATAGAAAAAGAATCACATATTGCATTTAATTATTTTATTTCCTCAGTTACCTTCAATCTGCAATACTTACTTGGTCTTTCCTTGATTTTCATGACGTTTGAAAATATCTTGATACTTTTGAGGATCACAGGCCAATTATTTTGTAGGACTTTCAATTTTTCTTGTCTGCTGTTTAGTTTATGTGTGTGGATATTCGAGTTTCCCATGTTTGGCAGGAATATCACAGAAACGACACTGTGTTCTTTTAATAGAATTCTGTCAGGTGGCATGCAATTTAGAGTTTTCCAATTACTAATAAATATATTGTAATCATTTTATAGATATATATCTGTTAGGATTCTTCAAAGCTACTGGTTTTTCTTTGTAACTAATAAGTATTTGTGGGAAGGGCCATTTAGAACCATGCAGTTTATCCCATTTCTCATCAAACTATTTATTACAATTACTATGAACTCAGGGTTTCCTAATTTATTCATTAAAGTTTAATTTATTATCATTTACATTTTCAAACTGGCCCTGATTTAACTTATGGTAGGCTCCTTGGGCTACTTTTGTGTCATTTTGGCATGTCCCCATCATTCCTGGGTGGGGTATTTCTATAATTTGGGGAACAAGATGCTTCAGGTTCACAGGGATTTTTAAATTTTAGTTCATTTTCAGACATAATTTCTCTGTCCCTAGCCTGGAATCAGCCATTTCTCCAAGCAGCCCTGGTTCCTTCTAATAGAAAATAATATTTAGCAACCAAGGATCTAGACACTTAATTGCTTATAACTTATTTACTCAACATTGCTTTCAGGCCATCTCAGTAGACAAGCTAGGGGATATACTTACACATGGGTATTTACCCCTCTATATTTTAGTATTTTTAAATATGTATATCAAAAAAAAATGAATTCATACTAATTCTTTCAATTCTAGTCCAACTCTATAAGCTTCATTCTAGTTTTCTCCTTTCCCATATTTGTAATACCCTCATTCAACCATGAGAAACCTAACATCTGTTATCTTTAATATGTTTACTAATTTAATTTCCCTTATGTGACTGATTTCCCATTACTACTGCAGCTTCCTCCTATGTATGGATATATTCTTTATCCTCCGTGGCTCTAACAGCCCATGCATGGATCCCTACTAGTATAAGAAGCTGCCAGTTGTTCCTGGAGAAAGGAACCGGGTAACTGACTGATAAGAATGGAGAATTCAGTTTTGTTGTGCCCTGTGTGTTTATTATATAATTATGAAACAAAAACTAAAAACATATTTTTCCTATTAAAAAGTGCATTGATTTTTTCCTTTACTAAAATACTAAATAGTTGTTTTAATCTTTATCAAGATAACCTTTTATTTTTTTCAGAGTACCCCTGAGTTTCTCTGTATGTACAGATACATGTTCTCTGTATGTGTAGATATAAGAAAACAAGTTCTGATCCTGAAAAGATGTTGTTAGATAATTTTCCTGACAATTTCACATAATGCACCATATCTTCATAGTGACCTCTTAAAATTAAGAACATACCCAATTTTTTCTGGCCTAACTTCAAAGAAAATATTTATATGGGCTTATAATTATTAAAGGTATCCAGAAAACAAAACATGAAGCAATTAGTGATAAGAATGAGATACACAGATATGCTGAACTACATTCTACTCCAAATTGAAATAAAAACTCACAGTTTCATCAAACAAAAAAAAAAACTGGGAATTTTCTATAACTCCATTCAATATTTACCAAACACCTATAGTATGTTATGCACTCAGAAATTTAAAAATAAAGTCTTTTCTGGAATCCTCAACTTCTTGTAGGGATGTGTTTAAATAGAAACAACAGAAAACACACACACACAAATAAAACATTGGAAGGTTATATTGATTATTGTAAAATAAATAGAGGAGAACAAAATTCATAGGGCATCTGGACCTAGTTAGCTTTTGGTTTCTAGGCAATTTGGCTGAAAATTTGGTATAAAACAAATTAAAATAAGTTTGTCCACTTAATAATTTGGTAAAATTATAATTTAGTAAAAGTCACCAAACAGATTTTTAAACAGGTAATTATTTCTGCTTTCCTCAGTTTGTAGCACAAAAAAATTTACAACATCCTAAGTAATCAACATTAAGGGATTAAAATGTTGGAGTTACTTAAAAATCTTTCACTTATATTCATAAAAATGAAAACAGACTAACCTTAACAGAAGAATAGACATACTGGTTGAAAATAAATAGGAAAAAAAAATTGTAGTTGAATAAAAAGTCTAGATCCTTTTGTCAGTTTCCTTCACTTAAAAAAAAAATGTGTGTGTGGTTCATAGAAGCATTATTCATAATAGCCCCAAACTGGAAACAGTTTAGATGTCTATCAACTGACAATATATGCAAAATGTGTTCTATCTATATAGCTATTATTCACCAATAAAAGGGAATGACTTCTGTTGGCATGCTTCATTATAGTTGAACCTTAACAACATTCTTAGTAAAAGAAGATAAAAATTCTATCCATATTAAATGTCTAGAAAGGCAAATTTCAGAAGCAGAAAAAGTTATTATCTAGATATAGAGGTATCGGCAGGAATTGACAACAAACAGCTATCAGAGAACTTTTTAGATGATGGAGATGTTCTAAAACTGGATAGTTGTGGTTGCACAATTCCATGAATTAAAGCCATATATTACATGCTAAAAGTTGAGTGGATTGTATGATGTGTTCATTATAACCCATTAAAACAGCTTAGAAAAAATGCATAGTCATTATAGAAAGTACTGATAAGTGTTTTGTTGTAGTTTTTGTTTTCTTAAGAAAAGCTTTTTAAATGAATCCCATTCATTCACTAGGAGTTATCATTCTGATACATCATTCATACATTATTCGTACAATATGATCTCATTTTTCTCCAAAAATGGAGTCATATAACATTCAGTTCAGTATTCCCAAATGAGGAAAATCCTCCTGGACAGCACAGAATTAAGTAAAACAAATATAGTCAGCTCCTCCCATCTGTGGGTTCTATATCTGTGGATTCAACTAATCACAGATTGAAAATATTCAAGGAAAAAAGTATGTCTGTACTAAGCCTATACAGATTTTTTTCTCCTTCATCATCACTATATAAACAGTACAATAGAAAAACTATTTTCATCACCTTTACTTTCTGTTATGTATGATAAATTATCTAAACATGATTTAAGATATGCAGAAGTATATACATAGGCTATAGGGAAATACCACACCATTTTATATGAAACTTGAACATCTGTGGATTTTAGATAGATAGGAGACAGTCCTAGACCCAATTCCCCATGGATACTAAGAGATGAGTGTATACAGTGTATACAGTAAAGGAACATACTTCATGTTCCCATTTTGTGGGATGGGAACATAAATCAATCTTGGATTATAAAAGTGAATTGATTTCTCTGATATTTCAGTTGCATAATTCTGATTAAGAATTTCAAAAGTGATATAATTTTTGCCTTTTTAAATTTAAATTAATTGGTGTTTTTCATAAACACTAATTCTCCTAGTTATTTTTTAATTCTTAAGTAACTCTATAATTAATATTTTCTTATTTTTATTTCTTTACAGGCCTACAGCAGTGAATTCTTTGATTTCAAAATATGGATTTCAGGAGCAGCTTCTGTACTGTGAGTTTTGTTTAAATTATAAGTTAGTTGGTGGTAGTAGTCAGCTTTCCATCAATATAACAAAATACCTGAAATAATTAACTTATAAAGAGAAGAGCTTTACTTTGGCTCATAGTTTTGGATATTCCAGTTCAATATCAGGTAGACTTATTGCTTTGAGCTTCTGATGACATGTCAGATGACAACTACAGGGAGCCTGTGGCATAGAAAAACCTTTTACATCAGGAGCCAAGGAACCAAAAAAGAGGAAGAAGCAGGATCGATCCCACAGCCACTTCAAGGTCCATCCCAGTGGCCTAACCACCTCCCACTAGGCCCCACTTCCTAAAGGCATCACCATCTCCCAGTTGCTCCACAGATGTACCTTTGGTAGACATTCAGCATCCACACCATAGCTGCTGAATATACTGTTAATATAAAACTTAATAATATTGATTTCTTTAATCTTAAAACAATATTAATAAAATATTTCATGGTTTGAAAAGGTTTCCATATAACGGTTTCCATATATGTGTTGATCTTTATATCTACCAGACATTTAGTATTGGATAATACTAGAGGATTGGAATGAAAATTTATACATGAATGAAAATATACATGTATACAGACTACTGTATATAGAGATTTAAAATTGTAGGATTGGGAATAATTTTTGCTTTGTTTCCTATGGTTTTTCATATTTTTAAATATAAAAGTAAATAGGGTTTCTCTAACAAAATTTTTGTAGAGTTTATAGCAATAAAAATATGGCTAAATTTTTAGCATTCAAACAACACAGTATCTCCCAATTAATCTTGGTCTATTGTCTGTTTTGTTTGTGTGTGTGTGACACTCTTATGCATTTTTGAGGTCTTTTTATGATTGGCTGGAATACTTTTTAAAAGCAGTGACTTAATCTTTCAATTCAGATGATATCTGTGCAGATATGAAAATCTAAAATGAATGGAAAAGATATTCAAGTATTGAATTAAAAATCTTCACTGTATTTTTCAGAATATGAATTTTAAATTTAAATTTTTTGTTTAAGACATTTTAAATTAAACTAATTGGAAGCTATGAAATAGAAGCTTGACACAATTTCACTATAATGTTAAGTTTTTCAAGTACTAATTGATAACTTGAGAACTTTGGTCAGAATTTCGAATAGATTTTTGTATAGTCACACTAAATTGAAAATCATGTTTTGTGGTCTCCTGAGAAATCTGGACTTTTTTGATATCATTGAAATTCCTATGTAAATTTTTTTATTAGTTACACATGACAGTATAATGATCTTGACAGTTCATACATTTGAATCAAATGGGGTATAATTTCTCATTTTTCTGAGTGTACAGGTTGCAGAATCTCATTGGTCATAGAGTCACCCCTATATACATACAGCAATAATAATGTCTGTTTTATTCTGCTGCCCTTCCTATCCCCCTTTCCTCTCCCCTCCCCTCCCATCACTTCTCTCTACCCAATCTAATGTGACACACTTTTTTTTTTTTTCCTCCTCACAACATCATACATGTATTCTGTATAACGATGAGGGTCTCCTTCCATCTTCCATGCAATTCCCCTTCTCCCTCCTTTTCCCTCCCACCTCTCTTCCCTATTTAGTGGTAATCTTCTTCTCATGCTCTTCCTCCCTATCCCATTTTGAGTCACCCCCCTTTATCAGAGAAGACATTCGGCATTTGTTTTTTAGGGATTGGCCAACTTTACTTAGCATAATCTGCTCTAATGCCATCCATTTCCCTGCAAATGCCATGATCTTGTTATTTTTTAGTGCTGAGTAATATTCCATTGTGTATAAATGCCACATTTTTTTTATCCATTCATCTATTGAAGGGTATCTAGGTTGGTAAATTTTTTTATATTAAAGGCAATAATTTTTTATAAGCCTTTGTGCCAGACATCTTTTAATTAGCTGGCTAATTCATTTATAAATGGCTCCTTTCTGCCTTCTTTTATCTTTTTTAGAGGATTTTAATGGTTAAAATAACAAAACATTTAGTTAAATTTTCTTGTTTAAATAAAAAGCATAAGTTTGTATTAATTGCAGCACTATGCATTTTTTCAAACTGCTCTCAGTCCTTATGATGGCAGTAGTGGTAGTAAAGATACTTAGTTAATATATATTGACTGCTTTACTATAGGCCAGCTACTGTTTCAAGCAGAATACTACAGCCCTATGAGACAGATATTGTTATTGTTCCATTTCACAGAGAAGAACATTAAGTCATAAGTTAATAGGTGTCAGAGTTGAAGTTTAGCCTTTGGAAGTCTGACTCCAAGATCCATCCTTTTACGCATGCTTACTTCTCTTTTATGTATAGTTGAAATGTTTTTCTGTTTAAACAGTGTAAATGTAATAACTAATTTAAAATTTTTATAACTTTATTTCATATTGCTGATCTAATATGTTCCATTATCTTGATTTTTCTAAGTATCAGGAAATTAAACTAGCTAACTCTAACAGTTGAATATTATCTATTTTCAAAGTGATAATTCACTTTAAAACAAATCATGAAATAAATAATGGCATTTTAGTTTTTTCTTTAAATAAATAAAAAAGTTCAATATGTTAATATTAGTTACCAAAAATTCCCTGTATTTACAACCTGAGTATTAAACTGTAAGTGGCAGGAAAGTTTTATTTATTTAAAGTATAATATATTGTTATTTACCTTTCAAATTGGTTTTTAAAAGGGTAAGAATAGTTTAACTGTGAAATGATAAAGTGTTTTTTTTTTTTTTTACTATTTTTAAGATTTTACCTGTTCTGATTTATTTGTATTTGTATGTGTTTGTTTTAAGCTGTGCTCGAGGAACTTGTTAATAATGGACGGTTACGAGGCACTGTAATTGGTGGGAGACAGGACAAAGCTGTGTTTGTCCCTGACATCTACTCCAGGACACAGAGTACTTGGGTGGATTCTTTTTTCAGGCAGAATGGTTATCTAGGTAACTTTTTAAATTTTCTTTAAACCTAAAATTTTGTTCTAACGCTAAAACATTTCTGGAGGGTATTTATACTAACCCTGGAGTTAGTATGTACTTTGCTATTGTTGACTGTTATTGAGCTTCTAGGTATATTGATGACACAAAATTTCAAATATTTCAAACTCATAAAAGTAATTATACTATATCTTACATTCTCTGAAACTGTCCAGTTTTTTAGTTACAGCATCTTAGAAATATTTATTGACTGTCCACTTTACAGTGTTCATTTGTATCAGTTATATAGTACTTCAGAAACATCAAAGTTACTCTAAGTTTTGTTTCTCAGGTTCTGCTATCATATCATTAAAAAAACAGCTTTATAACCCAAGTCAAACCACATAACAGATTATTTCTCAATAATAAACCTATAAATAAACCTATAATGAACAGTTTAAATATATCCTAGGATAATGGACTTCATTTATGCTTACTTGACTTCTGTGACAAACTTTTTAGCTTCTTCGACCACAGAATTGAATTAGAACTTTGTTATATCTAGTTTTCCTAAGTGTGATTATCTGGATAGGGATTGTGTGGTGAGGAAGGTAGATAATCTTCAATAACTAGAATGTCTGTATATTTAAGTATATTTTTATGTTAAATCTTTTTCTAACTTAAATTAGACTGAAGAACTACTTTGTCCTAAGTTGTCTGCTGATACATTTTGAAAAAATAGATTCCATTCCTTAAATATATTAAGCAAAATTAATTCCAGTTTAATTTAAATCATTCCTTCTCCTTTGCTCCCATTTTTGATCACATTGTTGTGAAGTCCTCATGTCTTCCTTTGGTCCTTCAATTGGAGAGGGGTTGACATAGCTGATATTCAGGAAGATACTCGAACCACTTTCTGTACACATATCTTTAGTTTTAAATTTTTCATAAGGCAGGAAATAAGGTGCAATTCTTTTCTGTTTTATTCCTAAAAAATAGTAAAATGCAGTACCTTTGTGATTGAAGAATAGATATTGGTGGAACGTTTTGTATGATTTCTAAAAGGTGTAAATGATTTCCAACTTTGTTATATATTTCCAGTTCTTTCCAACTTTGTTATATATTTCTAGAATTTGATGCCTTGTCCAGACTTGGAATCCCAGATGCTGTAAGCTACATAAAGAAAAGATATAAGACTACACAACTCTTGTTTTTGAAAGCAGCTTGTGTTGGTCAAGGACTTGTGGATCAGGTGGAAGCATCAGTAGAGGAAGCCATCAGCTCTGGAACATGGGTTGATATTTCAGTATGTTTTATCTTTTTATTTTTCCTTAAGCCAAGGACACATGTTTCACTAGTAGATAGCCATTTTAAAAATTAGGATACATAAAGGTAGTCTTGGCTTTAAAGGTCAATTTTATTAGTCATTATTACAACAAAGATAATTTTAATTATTTTAAGCTTAAAATATTTCTAACCTTTAAAATAAAGAATATCCTTTTACATGTCCATAATCAATATCCAGAGTTTTATGAATCTCAAAATAAACAAGTAAATAATATAACACTCATATCAATTCTGATACAGAAATCAATGAGATTTTTCACATCTTATCCATGCACTTAAACAACCACTGTCATCAGGCACTGTGTAGCATTTATTTATCTCTTATCTGTTAATCTCTGCTAATATGTTAACATAAGCTGCCTCTGGCATTGATAGTGTTTTACTTCAGTGTTCAATGTTGACCTGCCCTTCATTATGCTAAAAGGATACATATAGGTAAAGATAAATAAGAGGTCAATTCTTTATTTTTAAGTTAGGAGTCAGAACCTCTTTATAAAGCAGAATTCCATTTGGAATATGAAAGTTCCCAAGATTTTCTATTCATGCAACAAAATTTATGAAATACTTTCTGTATGTGAGGCATCATTCTACTTGTTGGGTGTATGGCAGCCAAACAACTTTTCTGCTGTCAGGAGGGACACTTTTATTGGTGAAAGTTTAATCAAAATGACAATTTCAGATAGTAGAAAAAGCTAAGAGGACATATATTTTGTGGATTTGTAAGAGAGAGAAGCTGAGTGTGACTTGTAAGTTTGGGTGTTTTGAACCATTATTGAAATGCCTATTAGGCATACAAGTGAGGAAATGATGTAGGAAGTAAGATATATAATTCCAGAGCTCCAAGTGGTATTGAAACCAGAAATATAATTTTGGGAAGTTATCAGTATAAATATTGTTCCTAAAGTCACTGGACTTTATGAAACCACCTAGAGAGTGTGTATATATTATGTGTGTATACATAATATATGGATATATATTATAAGTATAATAATATACATATAATACATATAATAAATAAATCAAAATTATATATATGATATATACACACAGAACAAATACATACTGTAATGTGTATATAATACATATATTTACATATACATAATATATGGAACATATGGTTTATCTGTATTATATTGCATTTTCATTTTGTATTTATTTTGTTTGTAATTCTAGCCTCTGCTTCCCAGTTCTTTATCAGTTGAAGATTCTGCCATATTGCTTCAGCAGGTGATGAGAGCATTCAGTAAACAGGCTTCAGCTATAATCTTTAGCGACACTGTTGTGGTCAGTGAAAAATTTATAAATGACTGTACAGAGTTATTCAGTGAATTGATGCACCAGAAAGCTGAAAAGGTATACCATGTTTCCTTTCATTGATCTCTCTAAACAGTATTTTCACATTAGAATCATCTGTCATGTCTTTTGAAAAATCGGATAAACAGTCTACCCAAAAATGAACACTTTGAATTATACATCATTTTCCCTTTAATAGATCATTCTTTTTTATTTCCTCTCACAGATTCATATTTCTTTTTCTTTAGTTTCATCAGAATATATATTAGAACTTGGAAAAATAATTTTACAAATTGAAATCACATAAATTATACATATCTGTGGATATGTAAAAGTATAGTGTATTTGTACTGTACACACACACAATATATATATATATATGGTGTTTTTGGGGGGTGGGGGTGGTACCAGCAGTTGAACTCAGGGGCACTCAACCACTGAGCCACACCCCCAGCCCCCCCCCCCCTTTTTTTTTTTTTGGTACTCAGGATTGAACTCAGGTGTACTCAACCACTGAACCACATCCCCAGCCCTATTTTGTATTTTATTTAGCAACTGTTTCACTGAGCCTGCTTTTGCTGAGGCTGGCTTTAAACTCAATGAGCCTCCTGCTTCAGCCTTCTGAGCTGCAGGGATTACAGGCATGCACCACCGTGCTGGACAATAAATGTATTTTTTAAATCTATCAGATCTTTGTTAATTTTACATAGCCAGAGTATATAAATAGGTAACTAGCTGAGAATAGAAATTTTCTGTCAAAATTGATTAGTCTTACAGAGCAACTGCTATCAAAGTATTTTGAAGAAGAGGCAATGCTAGGTCTGTCTTAATGACTGTTGAATTCATATTTCTAATTAACACCATCTCTTTATAAAGTTTGCTTGAGTAGATAAAACAAGTCCTGTATTTTAAACTGCTAATAAATTCACGTAGGCTTAATAAACATGTAATCTGTATTTTTCTATACTCCTTTTAAGCTCTTTGATATTAGGAAACCTAAGTTTAAAAATGTTTATTCTATATATTACTTTGGACAAGTAGACCTCCAATTTCCTTATCTTCAAAGAAAAGATGATGATGCCTACTATGTTAAGGATAAATATAAAGGGATACATATAAATGTCTGTTGTAGTTTATTAAATTATTATTTTTATTTATGATTATTAACTAAAATTAAAACATTATTATCACTTTTTTAGTATTCTGTCTAACCACAAAAAAAAATGGTTCCGAGAAAGGCATTTGTATTACATGAACTGTAAACATTCTAAGCATTTTTCTTTAGAAAACCAAAGAGGAAATTATAGCATTTTTACCATGAAAATGTACTTTTGACACTAGAGATTATAGAACCCTTTCCCACAAGAAAGAACAAATCTCTACACATAGAAATAAATAGTTCCGTGTTGTAAACATCAACTTTTAAAAAGCAGAGATAATCAAGAATGAATCCAGAGGAAAAAATAGATTTATGTGAATTAGTGTGGTTATATAGGTAGGGAATGTCATTTTCATTATCTTTCTTATAATCTCAAGTAACCAGGTGGTACTGGACTTGAGAGTATCAATAAACAATGGTAAGATTAGCCAATAACAGCTGAGGAGAGTTGCTCAGTGACCAACCATAAGTTCGGCAATAACATAGGCGTTCTCATTATTTTGTCTAGTAATGCATACAAAAAGCCAAGAACAACAGAAGAGACTGATTTTTAGCAAGGAGAAATTGCCTCAGAATGGCAGTTGTGAAATAAAGCTTGATAGTTCTTTATAATTTATACAGTATATAAGCAACTTTTACTTAATGCTTTTCAAATGCTATATATATTTGACCATTAAAAATTTGTTTAATTTCAGGAAATGAAAAATAATCCTGTGCATTTAATCACTGAAGAAGATCTGAAGCAAGTTTCCATTCTAGAAAGTGTTAATACAAATAAAAAGGATAAAAAAGATGAACGCAGGAGGAAAGCAACAGGTAATAAATTATTATCAATAAAGAAGATTGAAAGATGAGTTTTTATTTGTTGTAGTGAACTTTGCATTTATTAGGCCTTTTGAAATACCTTTTACTGATTGATTCACTTTTAACTACTCATATCAACCAAATCTTTCACTAATGTATTAAATTTATTTAAGCTAATGGATTATTGGTGATTGCATATTCTGTTTTCTCTTGTAAAAAAAAAAAAAACTGACTAAATTTTATGATTGTGCCCAACTCCTGTTTTCTCACTCACTCTGTATTCCAGCCCAGGGTTTTTTGTTTGTTTTGGTTTTTTTTTTGATTCTCAAAATTCCCAGTTCAAGGCCTTTACACTAGCTGCTCTCTACCTGTAATGCCCTGTCCCGAACTTCAAGTAACTGGTTCCTTCTTTTCATTTAGAGCTCAACTTTAAATGTCTTCCTCAGAGGCTTCTACAACCCCTAAAAAATAGTAGCCATAGTCACTGTTTATCTTGCCAGTTTCTTTCCTTATTTTATTACTGTGTTATGTTTTATTGTTTGGGAACATTGTCTATCTCTGTTAGTGGTTGTATTTCTAGTACCTAGAGCACCAGTTGGCATATTTTAGATGATCTGTAAATATTTATTGAATGAGTGAATTTCCCAATGAGTCATTGTCTTTTTAATTTCCTTTTTAAAAATTTATAGTCACTGGAAATTATTCTAGGTAGCACTGATATACTAGTAACTTGCATTTGAAAAGCGATATGTATTTTCCATTCTTTTTTCCCTAGGAAAAAGTTATTAATGCCATATCAAGACTAAAAAAAAAAAAGATATTCAGTATTTTTCGTTAATTAATATGTAGCTACATTAAAAATACTTTATAAAAACTAAATTTTTGCTATGTGAATTCACTTTTACTTTGTTGAGATTGTTTCTTCTTCTAAAGCATTTTCATCAAAATCTTGCAATGGTCTTTTGAAATTTCTCTCTATTCTTTCAGGAGAACTAGAGAACTATAGTAAATTACTTCAATATATCATAGTAATATTCATAGTCATGCACGTTTTATTTTGTTTAAATATATAATTTTAAATGCATCTTAATTAACTGGTGAATTATGTCAGGATAACTAGTTTGTTTTTTCTTTATGAATATAAGGTCATATGGATTTTTATCTCATTGAATTATATTGCAGTAGTTTAATTATAGTATATGAAATCATGTCTCAAATACAAATGTCCTTCCATAAGAAACTTATTGCCAAATATGAAAGAGCACATTCACTTTATATGTGTGCTTATGAAGACAGTATGCTTCCATCATAAAAGCAAGGGAAAGGTAAATTAATAGAAGTCTTAATTCTTGGATATGATGAAATCTAAGGGAATTCTATTTAGAATTTAGAAATATATCATTAGTTTATAGAAATCCCAATAGTTTATTGAAAAAAAAAATTATGAAGAAATATAGTTACAATATTTTATAACCCATTATCAGTATCCTATTTTGTAGAATAGATATTTGAATGTAAATATCTATTTATTTACTTTTTTGAAAGTGTTTCAGTTTGCTTCATAATTTTTATTTTTTTAGTCTTTAAACTGTGATCAGTAATGATTTTTTTTTTACATAACTATCATGGTAAACATTTATTGAGCACCTAGAATATTTCAAACATTTCTGTATCCCAAAAAGTACAAACAGTGAGATGTGCTCCTTGCTATCAAAAACTTTGCGATTGAGTTGAGTGGTCAGTGAGTCAGGATGTCTCCTAAAGATGGATAATACTCTTTCAAGCAAGAAAACAAAACCAAATATAGCTATATTTGTGAAGTTTCATAATAGGGGGTTTTAATAATACTGTGACAACAGAGATGAACAAATGAAAACACTTTGGTGGGGGGGAGGTGGGTACTAGGGATTGAACTCAGGGGTTCTCAACTACCGAGCCACATCCCCAGTCCTATTTTGAATTTTATTTAGAGACAGGGTCACTGAGTTCCTTAGCACCTCACTGTTGCTGAGGCTGGTTTTGAACTTGTGATCCTCCTGCCTCAGCCTCCCACGCTGCTGGGATTACACATGTGCAGCACCATGCCCAGCAGCACATTTCTTTTGGAGGTAAAAGAAGATATGAAGGAATGGGTTTAGCTAAGAAAAGATCAGACATAGCTACAGAAGTAACATAAGAGGAAGAAACTGCTTTTAGAATAGGCAGGAGAAGGTTGCCGAAATTCAAGAGGATTCATATTTTATTTTTTTTATTGATCAAATGTACTTTAATTGTCTTTCTGCTCTGAAGTTAAGTACAACAATACATGTCATCATTTTTCTAATACTAACTCATGTCATTTTCATTATATAATACTAACTAGCTTCATTTTCCACCAGAGGGCAGTGGAAGTGTGAGAGGAGGAGGATGGGGCAACGCCAGAGAATACAAAATTAAAAAAACCAAGAAGAAAGGAAGAAAAGATGATGACAGTGATGATGAGTCTCAGTCATCTCACACTGGTATGTATTTTTATCCTTTCTTTGTGTATGTACGATTTTTTTTAACAAATTTTCTTGATATTCATATCATTCATAAATATGATACTTATATAGGAAGTACTTGCTTTGCATAGTTTCACTGGGGACAAATTTCAGGAATCACAATTTAGTTAAATATCATCCCACCAATAATACAGCCTAACTTTCAGTTACCACATTACCCTGATATATTAACTGCTAGTAGTTGAATTCAAGTACAAACTTTACTGCTAGGTCTTCAGGACATGAATCACTATATAAATAATAGATGTGCTGGGCACAGTGGCACATACCTGTAATTCCAGTGGCTCAGGAGCCTGAGGCAGGAGAATCGAAAGCTCAAAGCTAGCCTCAGCAAAAGTGGGGCAACTCAGTGAGATCCTGTCTCTAAATAAAATACAAAACAGGGATAGGGATGTGGCTTAGTGGTCAAGCACCCTGAGCTTAATCCCCAGTACCAAAAAAATATTTTTTTAATTAAAAAAATAATAGATACATATTATGATCACTCATTTTTAAGGTTTGTCAGTAGTTGATTACTGTACATCCATTATTCTTTATGCACAAACAACAAAGCATATAGTTGTTTTGCCTTTGTCTCCCAATGATAAACCCATGTGACATTTTTAAAAAATGGATAATAAAGATGAAAGTGCAGAAATGAAAAGTAATGACACTGGAAATAAAATTGAAACCAAGTATAATGGAATAATAGAAGGAATGGCAGATTGTGGGAGTATTGACAGTGCCATTGTTCAGGAGACTCTAACTACACACAAAAGAGGAACAGTAAAGGCGAACTTATTGATATAAACAAAGAAAATGGTTATGACAAAAAGGATATAAATTTCTTAGAGAATGTAAAATTGGCAAAAGAAATCCCATTAAAAGAACTCTTGGAAATGCTTCAAGACATTGAAAGGCAAAAGATAAAGTGTTGAAAGCTGATACACATTTTATGCATATTTAATTTTTATAATTTTTATAATAATACCTAACTGCTTATGTCTAAAGGGGAGAATTAATTAAGTGTATCTTTCTTTTCCTTGAGTTGTTAGTGTTTGGCAATATTAAGTCTGCAAGAGACATTGTATTTTGTTTTTCTAAATAAAAGTATGCATAATTTTTTATTTTTTTCTGTTAAAGAAACCATGATACTACTCTCCTCCTCATCCTCAGCAAAAAGAAAATTGAAAACAAACCTCAAATGATAATTTGAGATTTTTTCTTTTTCACAGAGTTTATTGCCTATGAACTATAGCTGAGAAATGCAAATTGCAAAGGACATGGCTGCAGCCATTAATGTGCTTCTGTTTTTAATAGCTTAAGATTTGTCTTTAAAATATTCTAAGAAGGTTGAAATAGCTACTGTTCTTGACATGCATAAAACAATGTTAATTAAGAAAAATATCTTTGTAGAAACCACTCCTGTTACCTATCCTTATTTTGAATAATATTAAGACTCTCTTATATGTGTTTTAATTTCTCACTGATAAATAAATTTCCCTATTGCCTAGATGTGCTAGGAATGAAGGTAAAGAGATATTTAAAAAATACTTCTCTGATTCTGTAATTGTAAATAAATGAAGCATGTGATATTCTTTTTTTGTGTGTGTAGATTATTGGGAGGTGCTATTAAAGTAGTAAAATCATTCTACCTAAAACAAATGTAATTTCAGTGCTTTTGAAAAATATTGTGTTGTAATCTCTGAAATGGACAGTAAAATTTGGTTTTCAGCTTAAAATTTAAGATCAGTTCAATATGAAAGATTCCTGAAAGGAAATTAGTAATTTGTAAAAGGTATGCAAGATGCACACAGAAATTCATAGATTGTTTAGTATGAACATCAGGGATAGACAGCAGCTCTCAGAAAAGAAGGATACTACTCTAAAGTGTGATTTCAACTGTTTAGATCTTCATTCATATTGAAAATTGAATTTTGAGTTGTTTTATTTTTTATTGCTAATACTCCACTCATATAACCAATAACCTAATTTAGCTGGATATAATCACTTTATACTTTCACAGTTTCTACTGGAAATATTGTTAGCTTTGTCTTCAACCCACACTTTTACAAGTAAGTGAGTAGATAAAACATTTCCACATTTATAATTATTATGATTTCATTAACTGCCTGCGTTTCCTTATTACAGAATTATTTTTTAAGAGAAAAAATAAATTATGGCTGTAAATTATGCTGTTTGTGTCTTTCCAAAAAGGTAGTTTGAACAATTGTACATGAATTGATTCAGCTTAAACAATTCTACTGGAGTTGTGGTTCATATGATTATAAAAACTCCCTGAAGATCTTGTGCAAATTACAAAATATTTATTTTTATAAAGAAGAAAATTCTACACAGTGTCTACTGTTAAACAAAATATCCTGTCTTAAAAGATTATTTTCTCTCTTCTTGATTGTTTTGATTTCCAGCTATTTTCATCAGCCAAGTGAGGAAGAAAAATCATTTCATTTTTGTAGAAAACAGCTGTATGTGTGTGTGTGTGCGCGCACGCGTGCACACGTGTGAGGTACTGGGAATTGAGCCCAATGCCACTCTACCATTGAGTTACATCCTTTACCCATCTTATTTTTTATTTTGAGACAGGGTCTTACTGTGTTACCCAGGCTGGTCTTGAACTTGAGATCTTCCTGCCTCAGCTTCCCAAGAAGCTGGGACTACAAGTATGCACTACCACACCCAGCTGAAAAGTCTATAACTTAAATTCAATTATAAAATGATTAGATATAATAATAAATTAGAAATAATAAAAGAAATTCCACTACATAGCTTATTGTTTTTATTAGTTATAGATATTTGATATTAGTTATCTTATTGACATAATAACTAATATCAAAGTCTCTGATAGATAATGAATGAATTACCATCTTAATAAGTATATTAGTGGGACTTTATTTGCTTTTTGGTTGCTTATATGTTTAATTTTGGTTGATTTTTTTTTTCCCCCATTGCTCCTGTCTGTTGTAGCAAAGAAGAAGCCAGAGATCACTTTTATGTTCCAGGATGATATTGAAGATTTTTTAAGAAAACACATTCAAGATGCCCCTGAGGAGTTCATTTCTGAACTTGCTGAATATTTAGTAAAGCAAGTATAAAACATTCTTCAGTTTCTGTTTTGTGATAGCAATTCAGTGAGTTGTTAAGTAAAATTTTCATGAAGATCAGAAAGCATATATTTTAGGTATTTTCAAAGATTAGCATTTAATCCAGCCAACAAACTGTATTTTATTTGTCTTGGGAAGCTGTTAGTACCACAGACCTTTGGTTAGTTCTTTGGGCAAGGCAGTATGGGAAATAAAGCCGAGAAGCTTTGAAGATGTGCCCTCATTCACCAATATTGCAGTCTTAAATCGTAGTCAGGGAAGAAAACACCAGTATTCTAGTTTGATTTGACAGAAAATTTTTAAACTGTTTATTTTGAAGGAGAAAATAAGTAATAAATTGTCTCAAAAAGAATAATTTAAATACTATTGCCTTTTTAAAAAAATATTTTTTTAGTTGTCAATGGACCTTTATTTTATTTATTTATATGTGGTGCTAAGAATCAAAGCAAGCACTCTACCACTGAGCTACTGCTATTGCCTTTTGAATGAGCCAGACTTTTTTTTACATGCAAGAGTAAAGGAAGTTATATATAACCATCATTAACCAAACCTGGTCATCCCTGAAGTTAGTCTCAATATATAAGTTGCCATAAATACAATCCAGGAGTCTGGTGCATGAACTTTTTATATGTATAATTGTAGCTTTTGCAGTGAGAATTTTTTTTAATTTAAGTAACTATTTTTACATTTAAATATACTACAGAATTTTGTTTTTCACATATTTTAAAAAAAGTGAAATACTTAAGTTGTAATTCCTAAGAATGGGAACAGACTTATAGTATACTCTTCTCCAAATTAATATTAAAAAACTATTTTGATTTGTGTACTGTTACTGTTGTTCTTGTCATCTTTATTTTCCCCATATTTTTATTGGTGCATTATAATTATATATTATTCTTGTAATCTTTAGAGCAATAACTTTTACAACTTTAAAATTTAAGTGTAATAGTTTATCTAAGTTACAATTCCTGGAGCTAGGAGACAAATTTTTAATGAACTCTTCTCCAGATTAATTTTATGAGTTTGGAAAAATAGATTTTTTAAAGCCTTATTTGAGTAGATATAACATTTCTTATTTACATCAGTTAAATTCAGTACATTTTTATAATTAACTCTATTTGTCTTGTGCACAGACCTCTTAATAAAACCTATCTTGAGGTGGTACGTTCAGTATTCATGTCTTCAACTTCTGCTTCTGGAACTGGCAGAAAACGCACAATCAAGGATTTACAAGAAGAGGTTTCAAATCTATATAATAATATTAGGTTATTTGAAAAAGGGATGAAGTTTTTTGCAGGTATACTTAATACTGTTTTTTCATTGATTCTCATAATTCTGGGAGGAAGTTAGTTTTAATAAAGTGCCTTTCTTTTCCAGATGATACACTGGCTGCTCTTACTAAGCACTTACTGAAGACAGTGTGTACTGACATCACCAACCTCATTTTTAACTTCTTAGCTTCAGATTTAATGATGGCAGTAGATGATCCTGCAACCATTACAAGTGAAGTATGTTAGTGATCTTCTTCACATTCCTGATGTGTTGAGTCTGAGCAGTTTACTTTCACTCATTTGAAATAATTTAAAAGAAAAATAAAATACAGGAAGGAATTTTTTCTAAAACATCTAAAAGGCTTTTAGTTCAAGTAATGTTGTATAGATAGTTGCTAGCAGGATTGGTAATGTAACCAGTCTACTAAAAGTTAATAATAATTACTTTGGAATAAACAAGGCTTTTACTTTCCTAATCATTATGTCACATTTTCAATTTTCATGTTGGCTTGTAAATCACATAATATTCTGATCAATTTCTATAACTTTATAGTAATTTTCATTTAATGACACCATCTCATTTCAATATTTAAACTAACTCCAGATCTTTTCTAACACTAATCTCGAACTAAATTTAAAAACATATGACTTCCTTTATTGTAATAAATTGTAGAGTTGTGTCTCCTATTTGCTTAGAGGAAGAAAAATGTCCTGAAGATGACAATGACAACTGCTCCTTCTCTTCCTTTTCCTCTCTTCTTCCTCATCCTTCTTGGTTCACAAAAGCTTGGAGATTTAAGGAAAATGAGTGAGGTGGATGTATCTTCATGTAATTGACTGCATATAACTTACTTTGAACTAGATCAAACCAAATCATTCTAATGCTTATGGCCTCTAGTAATGTGGTTGTTGCCACATAGGTTACATGAGTTGTTCTTAGAATGACATTTAGTTTAACATTACTCCCCCTCATAGGAAGGACCATTTCCCAAACAAATGTATATTTTTTTCTCCCTCCAGCCCCTAGGCCCCTTCCCTTCTTCAACTTGAGTAACAAATCACCAGCTGTTTGGACAGTCCCATGTCTATTGCTTCTGTACCAACTTCTATTGTAGGAAATAAAGAAGATCTTGTTCCATGCCCTTAAAGAACCATAGAAGGCTTAGTATAAGGTGGTACAAGGAGGCACTAAGTTGCCCCTGACTTCCTATACATACTGTACCCTTTAGGGCCTACTGTCAAGCCATTTCAGTAGGCCTCTTCCAGAAATTTTGTACTAGAAGGAGCTATCTCTGACTTTGGCCAAGAATGCCACCAAACTTCACCAAATATGAATATGTGTGGATAAAAGTATTGAAAGATTCCTTATATCATACAGCGTAAAAAGAATCTAGCCATGGAACAAGATCTCAGCCCCCATCCTATAGGTAGCTCTGTTCCTTGTGAGTGAGGCTCTTCTCAGCTGGCACCAGGGAAGGAGGAGCCTCTTAACCCAACTAACTACTCTGCTTCCCACAATAGCATTGACTTTCTTTCCAGCCTTCTTATATTACGGGAGCAGGTGGGAGGAGTAGGACTGTATCTACCTTTTTGTTGACTACTGGTTAGCTCTGTGATTTTACAATATGTTTAATCATATTTTTATTCCTAGTTTCAGATGTAAAATTCAAGAACAAAATAAATTCCACTCAGCATTCTGTTACAGTAATAAATATACTTTATTCTTTTGTTTTCATTGATCTTATATTCACTACATGTTGAAAGCACAGTACTGAAAGAAATTTTCCCCCTACAGGTAAGAAAAAAAATTTTAAGTAAATTGTCAGAAGAAACCAAAGTAGCTCTAACAAAACTGCATAACTCTCTGAATGAAAAAGTAAGTAAAGTTTGATTCTAGTTAGTTACTGTAGCTAAACTCTTATGTTATAAAAATCTTTTAAGTAGAATTTTATCATAAAAACTGTAAACTATAAAAGCTAGAATTGTATACTCAGATACACCTTTAGGAGGGGAAGGAGACAAAACCGAGAACATTTTACCATTTTTAGTTCTAAATCAAAATTTCTAATTTAATGCCAAAGTGACCTTTTAAAAATTGTATTTAGGGTGTAAAATTAGAAAACAGTATTAAATGGCTATATTTCTTCAGACACCTATATATAAAAGCAAAATATGCTATTAACTATCTTTTTAGAGCATAGAAGACTTTCTTTCTTCTCTGGATTCTGCTGCAGAAACTTGTGATATTATGGTGAAAAAGGGAGACAAAAAAAGGGAAAGGTAACATTGAATTAATTTGTGTTACTCTTAAATTGAGCTGTTTCATATTTGAAAGTTGAATTATTACTGTCTGAACCTTGCCTAGAGAACTGTATCTAAATGACTATATATCTTCAAGCATGTCAAGGTTTTGATATAGGTAGGTATTCCTATCTGACCTTCTTAATAATGTGACAGAGCTCATAATCCCAGAGTTGATTAAGCCTGGGACTTTTTGTGAGCTTTGGGACCTTCCTTATAGGAAATCTTATTTAAATCAGTGCAGTTCTGTTTGATCACCAGCAGCTTAAAACAGAAAGTGTATTTCAAACATCTCTGCTCTATAGAGTTTTTTCTGTAACTTTCTGGTATGCTAGTCTGTCCATGTCTGTTAGGGTGCTGGTTGTGTATATACCCCATATTTGAAGGATTTCTTAAAATATTATGGAACTAGATCATTAAACTACAAAGTGATAAAGTGAATACAGAGGGGAAAAATTGAGATTGGTGAGAAATTATTAAATTATGTCTTTTTATGATTTGATTCTTGTTTAGACAGATACTATTCCAGCATCGACAAGCACTGGCTGAACAGCTGAAAGTCACAGAAGACCCTGCTCTTATTCTGCACCTCACATCAATCCTGTTGTTTCAGTTCTCAACCCACAGCATGCTCCATGCACCTGGAAGATGTGTCCCACAGATCATTGCTTTTCTTAATAATAAAATTCCAGAGGTATTAACATTTTCAATACATTTGAAATTTTCAAGCTTTCAAATTCTTAATATTTTGAGTGAATAAACACAAATCATTGTCAACTCTCAGGCACAACATATTAATATCATCTGCTTGCTTCCAAGAATGTAAACAGTGAATTTGTTTGTTTTATTGTTTTTAATTTAACATAGCTCAAGAACTTTTCAGGGCTGGAGCTATGGCTCAGTGGTAGAGCACTTGCCTCACACAGGTGAGGCACTGGGTTCAATCCTCAGCACCACATAAAAATAAATAAAGAAAGAAAGAACTTTTCAGAATCCTTTAAGATCCATGTAAAGAATGTTCTGAATTTGAAAATTAAGCTTTCAGGAAAAATACACAATGTCAGATCTCCTATTTTAGTTTCTCCTTCCTTCTCCTTTCTCATCATAGGATCAGCATACTCTTTTAATATAAAAGTATCAAGGTTTGGTTGTAAAGCAATTAACTTACCTTCAAGGTCTAGTTCAAAAGTCTTGTCCTATACAAATTCTTTTGAGAATCCCCGCCCCTCAGCTAAAAGTCATTTGGCTTCTTTAAATCTCCTTATCACTTTGTACTTTGGTGTTAGAAACTAGCTAAGTCAACTTTTACTAAATTGATCTATGTTCATGGTTTATTTCCTCTAAGCTGTAAACTCCTTGAAAGCAGGGACCTTGCTAGATTCAGCTTTCTACTTACATGACCAGGGCTTCATAAAGTTGAGGACCTTCAATGCATATTGTCAAACAAATCCTACTTCTTTAGTTCCACATAAAATTGAGTTGTGTTTGTAACTTTTCCTTCTTCTTCACAGGATCAGCATACTCTTTTGGTAAAGTATCAAGGTTTGGTTGTAAAACAGTTAGTTAGTCAAAAGAAGACTGGGCAGGGAGATGATCCCATGAGTGATGAACTAGACAAAGAACAACAGGATGTCACCAATGCTACTCGTAAAGAGCTTCAAGAGCTTTCTTCATCCATTAAGGACCTTGTTCTCAAATGCAGGAAATCATCAGTGACAGAAGAATAATGATCTTAGTTTGCTTTTGTTATATAGTGAGCATTTTCCCCAAAACTTAAACTTAAAGGTGAGTAGTCACAAAAAACAGTCAGTGGCAACTCTCCCTCGCTCCCGCACAATTCAGTTAAAATAGTAGTGTTTTATTAAATGTAAATCTTGTAAAACGTGAATTTTTGTAAAACTGGGTTCTCGAAAGTTTTTCTTTTCACATAAATTCTATGTGCAACTTTTTAGATAAAAATTATTTTCACATAATTCTAAAAAAATACATTTTAGGTTTATTCCAGATGGTAAATGAAGAATGAATTTTTCTGGAAAAGTACTTATTCATTTGCTATTTGATTTTTTAAGTGATATCTATATTTATTATATTCACTTAAGCAGAAACTTAAAATGTGGTCACTTTAAAAAAGAAGAAAAGGGAAATAAAGCCTTCAGTGTGTCAAAAGTAAAAATAAATCACATTTTATTTTAAGTCAATAGAGTTGCTTCAAAAATAAAATACAGGAATTTTCAGAATATATAATATATAATATATAATTACTAAGTCCTTGCTCTAATTTGGGCCTAGTAAGAGCCTTCCACGTAAAAGTTTGCAGGGGCTTCTGGGATGCCTTTACAGGTGGGAACACCAGAGAAGCCTATACATTGCTATGCTCTGTTACCAAACAGGCTGCTGAGAAAAGTGAGAGAAAACATGAAATTGACTGCTTATAGATATGTCACATTTATATTGGAATGACTAAAAATTTAATACAAAGATTTTTGTTTGATTAATCCAGTTTACATTTCTAAATTTTGCTTTTTATTTCAGTAGATGCTTTAACATCTAATTCTTTGGAAGTATTTATGTGACAAATTGTTAAGCTGCTTTTTTTAGCGGTGAGAGGATCTATAAATGCATTTAAATCATTGGAACCTTTTTTTTTCCAATAATAGAAAACTTATAAAAATTAAATATTTTTGTTTTGTAAAGATTGTGATTTAAAAGTAATTAACATTATTCTTTGGAGTAATCATTTCAACCAAACAAATTTTAAGCAACAATTTAGTATTTTAAAAAATTTAGTAATTTTGAATATAATAGAAAATTAAATCCCAAATATGAAAAAATATTATTTTATATAATTCCATTTATGGCATTTGAAACTTTATATTTTAAAATGTTTAAATGCAAAATTCAGACTACCTCCACTTTGTTTTAGAAAAAGTGTTAATCCTGAGTGAAATTAATGTAATTTCTAAGCATTGTTATTAAAGTTGATAGGATTGTAACACTAAATTTAAAAATGTGTTCCCATGGGTAATGTTCTAATATATGTTTTCATAAGAGCAAAGAAGAAAAATGACAAATCTCTGTGACTACAGAGTCTTAATTTATTTTTGTTTATGCAACTTCCAAAATATTGAACACTCAGCCTGTTTAACTCCGCATTTAAGGACCTTATCATTTATGTTTCAGCAGATACCAAAGTAATTCTTGTTTATGTTAAACTAGATCATAGAAAATAAATAGAAGAGACCATGAAGCAAATAAAATCATTCTGACTTAATCTATGAAAATAAAGTAGAAGAGACAATGAAGCAAATAAACATGCATTCTGTATTAACTTGTTTGCATTAAATTTTTTTCATTTGTCAAAACAGTTATTTTTTCATAGAAAATGAACATTTTTATTGTTTTGTAAATAAAATTATATAAGTGATTTTGTATGTAAAGATCTAATTTCAATAAAGTTAAAATTGTTAAATGGCTATCCACTGTGATCTTAATGAGCAGTGTTAAGAATATTTAAAGTTACCTATTGTTCTATTAGATTTTATGGTATTATATATCTTCCTTTATTTAAATTAATACTAAAATTAGTAGATAGATGCATTCTGTATGATGTGTTTATATTTTGAATTCTCATTCTGATTATAATTAGCGGATTTGATTTTAATTTTCTTACACAGAAAAATTTTCGATAGTTCTCAGTGTCTTTTAGTAATTGAAAGTTCATCATTCATGAACCATTTTGTTTTAGAAAATCACTTCTCAGCCAGATTTCATTAAATGTGTAGTTATATTCTTATATGCCAAACCCTATCATTGCAGTTACAATAGAGATATTGGAAACATGCCCCAGATATTTGTGTTCTAGTGTGTTCCATCTACAGACCCATGAGTTTTTGAAGAGTAAAAGGAAAACCACTTTGGCCATCTAAAAGATACACAGTAATACATAATAGCACAACCACAGTGTATTTTGAGAAAAGACCTGAACACTATATATTAAAACAATACAAGTAATAATTAACCTAAATGTAAAGCCATCTTGAATGTTTTAGAGAAATACTTTAATCAGAATGAAAATTACCAAGAATGAAGTCAAGGGACAACAGTGATCTGGAGGGTAGTGCAGCATATATGTTATTCTCATTTACCTCTAGTTTTGTTTTTTTTTTTGTTTTTTTTTTTTGTCCCTGATCTCCTATGCATTAATCATTGGATCATGAATTATTTACTCTCAAAAAAAACAGAAGAAGAAAATAATGTATTGCTTTTTCAAAAATGTCACTCAAGCCAGACCCAAATGGGATTTTTTTTTTCTATAAAAAGCTGGGTAAAGGTAGGAGGATGGAAATTTGCTTTCTTTCATTAAAATCAGTAACATTTCTCCAGTGTAGATGGAATGTGAAATAAAAACATATATAAAATTTCTATCAGATATATATTTTCTTAAAAATCTGGGAACACTATGGTGTGGCTATTAATATGGCCTATAATAACACAAGTTGCTCTGCCTTGAGGGCCATACTAAGCAATGAAAGAAAAAATAGAAGCTAAAAAAAGAAACCCTGACTTGAGGCTTTCAGGAAAAAAGAAATAAAATTATTTCACTTACACCATAAAAAGGAATACTTTCAATATGTATTAAATTTCTGTACATTTCTAGTGTTGTTTTTGTTTTGCCACGCTTGCCTCTAATTGCATCTCTGTTCCTTTTCAATGTAATAAGCACTTGATGTTTGTTTTGATGAGCAGGAAAAACAGGGTTATATCAATGGTGGGATGGAAGAGAGGACTTGGTGAATTTAAAATCTTGGCTCGGTAATTTCCTGGATCTTGTGTGATAGCTTAATAATAGAAATGCCAATGTAAACTTTAAAAATATAACTTACTTTCAAGTCAACGGCAAGAATCAACTGTTGCAGCGTTTGAACAGAAGTGAAAAGACAATGCAATGGAAAAGAAATGAAATTCAAATTTTTTTCAAAGAAAAGATGTGACACCATCCCCAGAACTGAGTCCTGAAAGAAAAAGTAGGATTAGCCTCAAACAAATGGAAGATAGAGAAGGAAGGTACTTCTGGGCAAAAGCGGTACAGAAGTAATATTATATAAATTGACATGACTAATGAGACATTGGGGAGCCCTAAAGATGAAGAAATATGAAAAGTAATCTGGGGAAGTATAGTGTAAGATGAAGACCAGAGGGGAATCCTGAAATGCCTTATGTACTAAGCTAAAATGTTTAAGCATTATCCTGAACACATGCATGCATACCCATTAAAAAAGTAAGTTAGCCAGTGTGTGATTAGATAGAAGTGATCTTCTGTTTTGGAAGGCAATTTGATAAATTAACAAAACCTTTTAAAATGTATACATTATTTGTAAAATCAATGTTTTCTGAGAAAATGTGAACTAAATAATCACAAGCCTTTTTCTCATTCTCCCTTAGAAGAGGAGTACATACAATGTCTCCCATAAAAGGAAACAGTCTTCTTGACTGAAATATTTTTGTTTATTCAGATGCTAACAATCAAAGGAAAATCTTTTTTCCAACTAGTCAGGCTGAAACAAAAGTCCCAAAGTTTGTCTTTTTATGTTTTTTGTTATTCTATATAAAGAAGTAAAACACTTTGTCAAACTGTTTTTCCTACTATCTGTAGCCCTTGACCTAACTCTATTATATAAATAATATTGGATAAGTGCTTAAAGCCATGGCATAAGGTTAGTGTAGAAAATAACAGTTGCTTAAATAATACCTAATAAATGTAAATGAACTTAAAGTGAATATGCTAGATTTTTCTTGCCTTTTTCCTAACTAAATCTGCCCTTATTTTATAAATGCTCAATATAAATTTTAGTATTAAAGAAAACAACTAAAAGGGGAGAAAATGAGCACTATTTCATTATATTGCAACTGTTCATCATATCACTTCAAAATTTATAATGTTTTATTGATTTGGAAAATCATAGTAAGTGAAAAATGATAGGATTCCCTACCCCAAAATATGGCATCTGGAGGTTCTCTCACCTTCTCCCACCCTTCTCTCCTAAAGCAGGTCATAAGACTCTCATTCAAGAGATACCCTCTCTGTATCTTGAGAAAAGGTATATCCTTATCTCTAAAGAGGAACATTAAGAAGAATCTGGACAAACAGGCCTCAATTACTAAGTTTTCCCTAGTTTATTACCATTAGCTCATACTCTCCTTTTATCCAATTATACTTCACAACTACTCACTCTTCATTAGACGTAATATACAAAAATGTTCTTGAGTCTTCATTACTGAAGACTACTGTGTCATGTAAAATTTAAGTAAATTTTTATGCTTTTTACTTATTAATCTATCTTTTGTTATAGGGGTCTCAGCCATGAACCTAGGAAGGGGAAAGATTCCTCATCCCCCATAATTACACACAATGTGGTGATTTTTTAATTGAATATTTCATAATTGTATAAAACTATATATAGGTATATGTATACATATATATGTAAACATTTACTTAAACACACAAACACTTCTTTGTATAGTTAACATAAATACACATACATAAAATTCTTCAGAGATATGCAAATATTTTGGCTATGTTTTTCTGACATTTTAAACTTTCTTCACATATTTTTTTCAGTTCTTATTTAATGTTCTGCAAGAAACATTTTTATAATTCAATAAAATATTTTTAAATAAATATAGCTCTACATCATTAGATGTAGAGAAAAAATAGACTTGAGGCAGATGCAAATTGTTTTGTGATTAATGCAACAAGCTATGTAAGAAATGTGTAGACAGTAAAAATGACAAATTTGAGAGATGCCATTTAATAAAGTAGAACCAACAGAGGTGATATGGAGAATGTGAGAATACAGTTTTGCAGGTTTAATATGGAACACCATAGAGAGTGCAGAGATGAGCACACTGAACAGAAGATGAAGATCTGGAAAGTGAGGGGAAGAAAGAGAAGTCTGAGGGTAGTAAGTGCCACAGTCTGGCTGGGCACAATTCAGGAGCCACTTGTCAAAAGAAACGAACTTTATCTTTAGAACACACACACCAAACCACACAGCTCCTCAGGAAAAACCTTCAGAGCCCAACTGCCACCACTGGCTTCCCACAAGCCTCTCAACCTCCCCGACTCCTCCTGCTCTTGAGGCAGATTGGCTGGGTCGCGTGGGCGGAGCCAAAAAAAGTCCCCCAATGAGCAG